TTCGATACAAGCTCATACACATATTTGAAACAAATCATACACGTGTCTGGAAAAGCTCACTCACGTATCTGGAACAGATCACACACGTGCTTGGAAGAGCTCACATACATTTGAGGAAAAGCTCACATACAAACGCACACACAAACACACACCCACACACGCATATGGAAGAGCTCAAACAGACCTGCTCAAACACAACCATAGAAACAGCTTAACATACAGTCTGTTTCATCATATACGCAAAAGACTGCCACTTTTCTAGCAGCAAATACATACAGAGATAAATAAAAATCAAATAAAAAACATGCACGCATAGACAGTGAAGTAAAACCTAAAATTTTTATTAGTTTTTAACCCGAAATTTTTATCAGATTTTTACAATCACTTTTTATTACACCAGCAAAACACCCATCGATCATTTCGACCAAAATTTTTTCGATAAAAAACTAACTTATATAAAGCTGCATGCACAGCCAGTGATGTGTCCTCCTTGATTTTTCGAATCTTTTTCTCCGATCGCTGTTCTTTTGTTAATTTTCGTTGCTGATTTGCCGTTTCATGTTTACGCTGTCTTTCAGCAATCTGCTTGCGTACGTGTGCTTCAACTTTTGTTGGATCCTGAATAGCATCCGAGCCCAGCACTCGCATCAAATTTGATAACTTTACTTTCGGTTCCGGTGCCTTGCACAAGCCCAATCTGCAAAATTCAGTACAATGTTCCATATTTGAATATGATATCACAGTGTTTGAAATATTTGCCTGTTGCTTCTGATGCTCGTAACGTCCCCTGAGGGGGTCACCAGCCAAACAGTTTTTTCGAGCGGAGTAGTTAGCAAGCTTTACTCGTTTCAAGATGTCTTTAGTGTGAGCCGAATACCAGCATATCGTCTAGAACTCTGTCACTCCTGAACCGTGATGAGGTATTTTGCCATCTGTGAGATACCAGATTAAAAAAAAAAGTTGACTGATCGGGCAATTTTAAAAATTTAGCATACAGGCGAAGTCACCAGGGAAAAAAAGAAAATCAGTTGGATGCCCACAAGCAATACTTTGGATATGGTAAATTCGGCCTCTGTAGAAAAGATCCGACTCCCTGACGGAGAACAGAAGCATAACGATGATGCAGCAACTACTCAAAGTATCAATGAAACTGACTTACCTTATTTTTTCCGTCTGCTCTTTTTGGGCTTCTTTCCTGTTTTGTCGCCGAATCTTCTTTCGCTCTCGACTTGTCAAATATACCTTAAATAAAAACTCCCAAATTGTAAAAAATTTTGCATAGTAACGTAGGATAGCCTTCCCTTATGCTCCACTTGATCGCAATGCGGACTAGTGTGGAAAAAAAATGCACTGTATCGAATTGCCTACATTCGCTTCCTTAATTCCCACACAGCTCCAATCAATCATTTCTCTACAACAGCCCGCAACACAGCATTCAACTTTACGCAACTGGATGCTTTTCAAAATCGAAAAAAAAAACAGGGTAGGTACTCTACTACACGCTTTCGCAGTTTCAAGGCGCCAGTTTGGAATTCAACATGCTCCTCGACTGCTTTTCATCAAGTTCTGTTAGTCGTTTAGTGACAATCATCGTAAACAACATGGCAGGCAAATATACTACGGTACCACAGCAAACTACAGCAAGCAAGTTACAGTACGTACAGCATTACGATATGTTACAGTAATCGTTCCCAACTATATTACAGTAAATTTTACCCCACACATGATTTATTTTATTTAAAAAAAAAAAATGTAAAGACCAACAATCAGCAA